AGTAGTACGCCAACCCTTCATTGAAACTGAAAGCCGAGTTCCGGTCATCAACACACGGCAACGGGCAAAGTGCCATAGGCGGTATGCATGTTCATAACATCGAATAAATGATGTCGTTATTTAGTGTATGCACAGTTCTTTTCCACTGGGAGGAGGGATGCAGTGAAGCACTCTTCAACTGTATACGAGCAGTGTTATTTCATGTGAGGCTGTATAGCACCTAAAGAAACCGTTGAACCGTTTGATCACCAATCCAGAGTTTATCGTGCGAGCGTAACTACTATGTCTCCGATCACTTGTTCGGATATTTGCTACCCGTTTTCCCCTCTACACATGTCATTCTTACAGAAAAAAATCCTCTAGTCCACACTCAGACTAGGTAGCAGTGCAATACTGTTAGAATCAGACAGTTATTATATGTACCGTATTAGTGCTGCTTTAGCTCTAGGACGTTTTGCAAAGCAACGACTAGCGATCAACTCGCGCGTTTTCACACCTTGATGAACAGGTTAATCCCCAGAAAATGGCCTTGGACGATGAAGTACATAGAAAAGAACTCACGATGGCTGTCAGTGTTCTCCTTATTCTGCTGGTAAGGTCACCGAATTTCGCATTACAAATGTTTGACGGTAGTCTACGTTTCAAAAGCTTAGTTTGGGGTTTTCCAGTTGGATGCGACCGTGAACTTGGCCGAAATCGTATTTTATTTACCATTTTATCAAAATGTAGTTTTTGACCAAACTATTTCAAAGAAAATAGTCACCATCACAGTTAAAATCAGCACTGTTTTTGTTATACACTTGTGCCTAGAGGAGCCAACAACATTGATTTGCACAATCTACCCAGAATCATTTCTCTGCATCTATTCATGCGCATACCGCGGATAATTTAATCATCTGCGTAAGCAGAAAACTAGAGATCAAAGAAAAATGTAGTCTGCAACCACAGTTGTGGAATGGCGCAGAAAACGGAGAAAGCAACTTACCATGAAAGAGGTAAACTGTCTAGCAATTCTAGACGTTTGTTTGTGGTAGTGATTGGCCGGTGCTTTGGGTATATTTAAGCAGTCTTGAACTGGGGTTGGTGTAAATAGTTGGAAACGCATCTTTGAGATCAACGCGAAATTGTTCTTCACAAAGTTGTTGCATAGCCGATGGCCTCAGAAATTTTTGTTCGTCTGATAACATCATCATGGTGAATTTATCGTCAGGACTTTTCTGAAGCCACCAAAAGTATTTTCAGTCCCGATAACCGAACTGCCGAATCAGATGTCTAAGCGCCGAAATTTGACGCGGTAAACGAAATTGAACTAGGCTTCTGACGTACGGGTGCTTTCGTAAAATGGTTTTCGGCCCTAATACTATAGCTGTCTGTATGTCGAATTCTGTTAATTTTTACACCCAGAAGATAAAGGAAAATCCCATACGCTGCTGGTATTCTGTTTAATGGGTCATTCGATGAAAGGCTTCGGGGAAGATCAGAGAACAAATGAATAATGAATTTAAAATAACCTGTGCTACAGGTGAGCATGAAAAAAAACTAGGGGGCAAAATTATTCATTCACTAAAACGAAAACAAGTTGTGAAAGGTTTATGTTCACTGCCAAGTATTATCACCTTTTATTTTGGTTACATCTAAAATTAGCTTAACGAGTCTAGGTGATACTGTTCATCCAGTCCGTGTTTAACAATGCAACAGCCACTTTATTTTTTCTGACTTCTTTTCAGGTAAGATTTCAAGTCAGAAATTTGTGTGACTTCCCAAATTGATTTATTTTGTATTTCCAAAAACTCGATTTGTGTTGATTAAGTAGTATTCGCTCTGCCAATACCAACGCCGATCGCCACATTTGCAATGGACAGTGCCTGTCGACACCAATACAATTGTTGTTGATCGGGGCCTTCGTGTCTGCCCTTCCCCCGCATTACTTGACACTTCAGTGTGATTCAATTAACCCTACTGCATCGAGCACTGGAACAGATCACAATAGGCAGAGTTTCGTCACTGTCCAAGAGACCCAAATTTGTTGCGCCTTAGTTTTAAACCTAGCTAAGAGTTCAACAAACATGCATGACCCTGGATCAGATTTCGAAGCCTTTCTCTTCACTTTGCCTGAGTCATCATGCAGATCTTTCGGACGGACATTGGCAAAGTATTGGACCGTCAGCAATTCGCAACTATGCCATTCAGTCCATGAAGGGCGAGCTACGGAGAGTGGTGTGACCTAGAGCAGAATTAGGCAACATAAAGTCGACTAACCTACACATGGGTAACGAAAACAGGTGTTGGAAGCGACCGCAGAGAGTAAATCAAATTTTGAAGTCGAACTGCTTTTTCGAACATGTTCACGGTTTCCTCGAGTGTTAAGCCGAAATATGTAAGCTAGATCCGATGTGCACTTTATCAGGCAGTCCATGTTCCGTGCTATCGAAGACCACTCCGTATACCATTGAATGATGCGCACTGTGATAGGGCTGTGTGGTAATCCAGGCCTACGAGATGACGCCTACCCTGGAGCGACGCGTTACAGTTTTGGGACACCTGCGATCAATCAAATTTCAAAGGTGACATCAGTGACACGCGTACGTGTCACTGCTTCCAACTATACATCACAGGCAGATCGTGCCAGCCAATCCGAGACCGTGCAGTCCAGACAGAAGTAGAATGAAGCAAGCAATACTGGAATGCGATGGTTGAAAGCCTAGATAATCAATGATCTTTTGTACATATTACTATATCACCCTCATTTCTTCCAATAAACGAACTGCCATTCCTGTGGCCTTTTCCTCTTGTCTCAGTCACGTGGGATATTGTAATTCAGTGCAACTGCGGTCCAGTGCTTACGTGATCCAGTCCATGATAGCTGATCCTTGATTCGTGTTCCGTGATTCGTATTGCGTGGTTTGTATTCCCAGTCCAGAGCGCATTATTACTACTATTCCTACGGTCACTACAGGCTGGAAGCCTCTATCGGATTGCAGTATGCTGGGGGATTCCACGAGCATCGTCACTCAACAGACTTACCATAGTAGGAGTGACTTGGAGTTTTGTTGTTCTCAGGTTCAGACTTGAAAATAATTTTGTGGTTTTAGAAAGCATTTTTACTTCGATGGTGATATAACTAGACAAAACACGGGTTATTGGATTCATTTGAATAAATGTGACACATTCTACACGAAGGTTTTACTAAAATCCTCATTACTCGCTTGTGTTTAGTCAGTGGTTGATTCCATTGAAAAGCAGGAGTCACGCATAAATCAAATAGGCCAGAAAAAATTTCAATATAAAGTTTAGGATGGGAGTAGCAAACTGGAAAAAGTAGACGTTCAACACGCAGTTATTGCTGGAAGGTTGCAAGAGGGAAGTGAGGAATAAACAATTTCAAAAGGTGCTGTAATTCTATCTTTTATAGCAGGATGGATCCACAAAGGTTCAACGGTACAGCAAAAGTTTTTCCAAATCCCGTGTAAGAAAACACCACAAAATAGAATTAACTTTAATGAGGATTATCCGTGAGCAACTGTACCGGCCTTCCGACAGAATTCCGAGAAGAGTCAACGAAATGGTCCAGTAGTGCATTCTGCTGGAGTCACTATATTAAAAAAATGTAAAGCAATTGTCTTATTTTTCATTCTCCATTGAAAATTAGTCCTGGGGAGGGGTGACAGTCTAGAGAAAAGCCGCTGAAGTAGTTAATAAATGTGGAGAAAAAATGCACTTGTTGCACATCTCAACAAGGGACTACAGTGGTTTGATCGAAAGCACTCAATACTTGAATTTGTATACAATGCAAACCTAATTTGCAGCTCGGGAAGTGGATTCGAGAAGAACAAGTCTCGAAAAAACCATTGCGATGATTCTGTATCCGGTGTTGTGGGTTAGAAGCGTCTAACCTCGGTCAACTGGAAGCCACGGCCGATTTTCAGTATTTTTATAATGAGTAGTACACGGACGACTGGACATCGACAGTGCAAGTAGAAGAATGACCAGACAGAAGACTACCGGATACGCATACATGAAGAGTGGTAAGGACCGCGAAACCGGTCGTGCGCTTCTTGGGACCTTTGTCCAGTCATTCATATACTACTGATTGTACTTGCATTTGGAACACACGGGCCTCTAGGTGAATGTTATACGGAAGAACATTATGATACTTAAACAAGAGCTGTGAGAATCATATATTCTCAAGCTTTGATCTCATCCTAACAGAGGAGCTTTAGAAACGAATACCAAACAAATAAAAGGAAAATGTGCGAAATCCCAAGTTCCGAGTTAGGCGCGGTTTGCTTTACTTGTAGCGGAGCATTCGGTGGAACCTGTTTCGTACCGTAAAAATAAGTGTTGCGCAATGCAAAGTTTGTCAAAAATAATGAATGGCGGTATAATTTTGTGGATAGACAGTGTTTCATCTATTCTTCATCCTTTAACTTTCTTTCAGCATAGCTTCGCAATATCCCGTTCGTTGTGGATACGATCAAAGAAAAAGCACAATGTACGTATTTGATGTTTCAACCGCTAATGTGCACAGTTCGTATTAATGAGATAATTTTGTCAGCGATGATGTAGGGATCACGCAATCTGTTCAGTTTAGCTATCGGTATGCCCCAATATATCTTTTATAATATGGTATCTTTTTGACATTCCCTTCAATGTCATTAGAGAAACCTTGATTTTTATCATTTTTATATTATTGAGGTGTTAATTTGAACCCCATTATTATTCAGCTACATTCAGATAGTGGTTTGATTCACTAGCCTGCAAAACAGAAAACTTATTTAAAACATTAGAAGGAACGAAGTTTTCGTTTTCGGGAATAAAAACGCATGATCATAATGGGTCTCAATGACCAGCTTTTTTCTAAAGGGATTGTTAATCGATCGGACTCACGTGACATAGCCTTCGAATTTCCACCTGACGTTTATGGATTTTCTTCCATTGATGTAGAATACATTTCTGTTTCTGGGACTCGGGGTATTCTTACTGTTTTCTTGTTCTACAAAATGACCGCACCGAATGATGGCAACCGGACGCCAACTCCAATGCAAGTGCATGTTTATACGGACGAAAACGGTTGGACTTCCCTGGACCCAAATGTGCCACTTTCACAACAACCACTAGCCGGCACATTTTTTTCATCTCAGGTTTCACCCAATGATCAGTCCGGTTTTCGTGCAATGTATGTAGAGTCCAGTGTAAAAAGCAGTAAGTTATTCTCCTGCTGAGGTTTGGCGGACATTGTAATCACTTTTCGCTCTGATCATTGACGCATTTCATTTCGGTTCGTTCTTGAATTCAACGAACTGCATCACAGTTTTCAGTTCCCTTTACATTTTTCTGTGATGTGTTTGGTTAGGTTCTCCTCCCTGGGATGCTTATAGTGTCATTTTCAGTTTATAGAACCATTAACCTTGCAATCTCGCACAACTGTTTCGTACGCTGTACTCTGGGGTGCCTATTTGAAAACAGAAGGAGAAGCAGAAAGCTGGAGTGCAACTAGACTGAGGTTGCAAAGAAGCGCAGTAGGTTCAAGAACGCTACTGTTCATTGCACTGCGCTATCTCTCTCAATGTTTCTAGCTAGCGTTTCAGCCGATTTTGAAGTCTTCAACTGGGACACCTAAAATAATCTACGTGACCCAGTCACGAGTCAGAATTCTCATACCTTCATGTCAAGTCTTAGTTTGATCACCCTCGACGTTCGTTCACGCACGACCTACCTAGGTAACTAATGAACATTCAAGAAAGCTATCTAGAGGAATGAGTAACAAATAGCCTAGCAATCTAATTCTATTAGGATTGATCTCTTGCTACAAGGGACCATTTCGACTACTCAAAAGTTAGCACCTGACCACGGTATTACATGCCCAATAACCCCATCAGACTCGTGCAATGCAACCTAGACCGGGCTGTCAGAATACCGTAGGTATATATTGAACCAGCTTTCGTAGCGGTCACATTTCTGGATCATATATCAACTCTTCCGAATTACTGCAGCATACATTCTAGTCTTCGTAAACTAGTGAGTGTGGTGCCGGTGTCATAGATGTTACAGATTGGCGACCTCCAGTTGAGACCACTGTAGGCTTGCCGGCACTGTGTTCAAGCTTCGTCCATCACAGGAGATATAGGTACCCAAATAGTACAATTTCTCTATCGCTTCCCTTAGTAAGCAATTTACACCGAACATTGCTACCATAACACTCAAACCATGCAGATGAGCTTGCAATCTACCCAGATGTTCACTTAGTAGTACAATACCATCTGAGAGTTAATTATTTCAGTTATCCTCTCATGAGGACAGAGCTGTTTCTAGAAACACAAATTAAAACATTGAATAAAGGTGGAGGGAAAGGGCAGGGTTAATCTGGGGAGTTAATCGTAAACAAGCTGCATAGACGTCCCAGATGGGACACACCCGATCCACAATTCGGTGTCTAAAGATAGTAAGTGACCATTATGAATACTGCGGAAAACGAAAATGGTGCACTCAAGCAGGATACGGTCTTCAGAATAATTTTTATTCGACAGTATGAATATCCAAATCCTTTTGAAAAGTGCTTTTAACAATATTATATTAAGTTCTCAATTCCCAAACGGACTATTTCATGCAGGAACAGAAACCAAGTAATGAAAATACAAATACGGTGTTCGATGACACATTCACCTCCATCCCTACTGTCTGGAACGAATAGGCACAGTATTTTGGGCCCAGCTGAATTGATCTCTATTGATGATGAATTCATAAACTTGGGCTCCAGGCCTACTGCTATCACCAGTTGATGTAAATTCTCCGACAGGAAATTAAATAAATTCGAAGATTACTTGCCCCAATTGGTACAAGCCCTCTGGGTTGGGTGGACAGAATTCCAGATTAAAGCCCCTAGTTGTAACTGTGACAAACCTCGTACGTATACTATTAAAAGAAATCAAGCTTCACTCCTTAAGCTTTGTTATAACTACATTGACACGGTTTTGTGCTTTTATATGCAGTTTATTTATCACCCTTGTTTCAAGGTGAGCGTGTATGTATACATCCTTGCAATCGGTCATAAATTGCACTTTTGACGAATTACTTCATCACAAAAAGTTTGAAATATACTTAATGAAAACTCATGATGCTCCGTATAATCAATGGAGCACTTACAAACAGAATATAGCAGTTTTTCCCGCAAGCGGTTAAATAAGCGAGTACTTAAGTAATAAAAAATGAACCATTTACCACTGTTAAAGTCAGTGTGGCGACAGTAATCTCTAAATTTATATGCAAACGGTACTTATCAGAAGAAATGTCACGTAATATCTAAACCATTCCGAATCGTGTCAAAGTGATTCAGAATGAGAATTCAATTGGCTAGTCATAAGTATAAGGAGGTGTTTGAGTGGTGCACCGATTACCAATGCGAGATGTAATTGATCAGACCAAATTAAACAGCGTAGGCTGAACTTCATTTCAATATTTTAGCTTGTTGAACTTAGCAACAATTATTTGGTTGACAATATTTATTTACCGTTGTCATATTGATTACCAATTCCAATCGTTTTTAGCATCAGATCAACCACAACAACGAGGCATGATGATCACATCTGGAATGCCTCCAATGACCACGCATGATAACCAGGGAAGGCCTCAAACTCCAATGCAAACAATTATTTATCATAGTAATCAGCCCTTTGCCAATATCCCACCACCACCGGGATTTGAGAATTTCCCTCCACCAATGACCTGGTGTCCCGGTACTTTGCCAATGCCACCCGGATTTCAGGATAACCGATTCGGAGAGAACAGAACTAATGAATTTGGATTTCCTCCGGCTCTGCCCGGTTTTCATCCTCCCACACCGCCTATACCAATGCCATGGCCTACCGCACCCAACGGAGGACCTACCGTGATCACTGCAATTCATACCACCACATCCACCGCCCCTATGGATGATCCCCGATTCCACCCAAGCAACCCCGACGGCTCCCCGAATACGGATCGTAACGTAAATAACACCGTATCAGAAATCCAGCGCAGTTCCACAAAGCCTAATTTGTTGGATCAGAATTCAATTGACCGTATGAGAACTTTAGGACACAAATGGCACCACAGACAGATGAATTCCTGCGGGGACGTTCATTCCATGCAATCTACTCCACTGAAGCAGGATTATAATTCACAAAATTCGCAGCAAGATTTAAGTCAGTCTACCGGTCCGATCTGGTCAGTTAGACGGAGTCATAAAAAGCGTAATTGTCGATCTAGCAGTCCCTGTGGTCAGTGTGGAACACCTTGTCACGGAAACACATCAAAACACACAACTAAATTCAGTCTATCCACAACCCCTATCCCTGTAAACCCTTCTCCAACACAGTGGGGGAACGAGTACGATTATATCATACCTGCTGCTCCAATGTGCTGTTGTCAATGCGGAGCAAGACATGAATTATCGACACCTGTCTATTCCGTCTCGGGGCTGAGTGCGACAAATATAAGACATCAAATTTCATGGGACAACAGCTACGGCTGTCCCTGTTATCCAGCCCCTGTGAACAATAGGCCTATTGTGTCCCATATACCTCCGATCAGATACGATCCACCAAAAGCTCCTCCTGCACCGGTCTCTGTGGACAAAGCCACGAGCACGCAGGAGAGAACCAAAAGAACCAAAAATCATAAAACTGTTTGGGGAATTATTCTACCGCTTGCTGTTCGTCCCTTGTTTCACGAGGCGGAAACGGAAAAAATGATTCCCATCGAGAATGTGGAAAATTTGGCCTCGGTGGATTTGAATGCCACACATACGATACAATCAGTTCAGGCGACGAGTCCTCCGGTGTCCCCGGTCGTTCAAAGGAGTTCCTGTGGTTGCAGTGGTTCGTCATGTGATTGCAGTGAAAGTTCCGATTCTCTTTTGAGCACCTTTTTAGATGTGACCACAGGTAAATTTGATAAAGAGCTGCGTCGGCTAAAAAAGGCATCAAAAAGCTCACGATGATCACAGGAAAAATGCACGAAGAATGCACAGAAAAGTAGCTGATCATTTTGGCTTCCGAAATTCATTTTAGTTGAACAATGGTTCATCACCTATTTGTTTAATTTTGTTTTTGTTTTTTTCTTATATTATATTTCCTACAGTGTTTTCCCTCATTTTTATTTATTCTGTTTTTCATTTACTTTGATCTTCTGTCGAATTATTCAATGGGATCAGGGAAAACAGAAAGATGGTGCGTTCTTTCTTCCTTTCTTTCTCTCTCTCTCCATATATATGCAATGCGATTAATTAGTCGTGTTAATGAAACTTGAGCTGAAAAGCTCGGAAGCACTGGGCAGCTGTTTTGACCTGTTTGGACTTCACCAGTAGTGCGAATCCATCAAGGTGACTGGGCATCGAACCCGTGACCTCAGAGCTGGAGCGCAAGCGTACTACCCGCTTGAAGGTGATGTTCGTCAGTGTTGTACTCCCTCTCCGTTTATGTTCAAATTCATCATAGATTTAATTATTAAAGCAGCCCTATTGCCGTGCGAGGAAAGTGGCGCCGATTTGATCTCAGGTGGTGGACAGTTTAATGACATTGTGTTGCTACCTGAAGATCCAGGTAAGTTACAAGCTGTTCTGGATTGCTTGAGTACACGCGTAGTCATGCTCGGTATGCGTTTTGCACCTTCAAAGCGTTAGTCCTACCCCGACCTCACTCAACCTGGGGAAGTAGTAGAGGAAGTAGGTAAATGTTTCTATATTGGCAGCTATACCCACGTGGCGGGCACATCACAGATGAAGTGTCCGTATACATGCAGAAGGCTCGATTAGCAGTTGCTAACTTGAGCATCTATCACACTGTCGCGACATCCGGCCGTCCTTAAGGGGTGAAGTGTATGCAGCAGCAGTTCAGTCCGAGCTGCTTTACGGTGCCGATTCTAAGCCATTATGGAAGCAGGACAAAAATATATTGTCAGTGTTTGAACACCGCTGTCTACGCCGCATTGCATGAGTCTACTGAGGCAATCGGACAAGCAATGCTGAGGTTTTAGGTAATCACGTTTGCCCACGAAAGTGCATGGTTAATGGTTGTAAAAACCTAAACTGAACTGAAAATGGAGCAAGTGGTCTACCTCCATAAATTATGTCGGTTTGGTGGTATTGCATATATGTCATATATGTCACCAAATAGGTTGCCACGGTACGCAGGAAGCGGTTGGAAGAAAGTCGAAGAGTGGTCAGAATAAGACGTTACAACGGTATGAAAACCCTAGCTAGGAAACTCGGTCACATAGGTCCCGTTAGGATCCCTGGATGGGGACCTCGGGATGATGGTAACCGGTGGTTAGAGACACTGAGCAATGCTGCTGAGTGTCGCAAACGGTGGCGTTCGTGCAACTTATCAATTTCTTTACAACCTCAGTCCAATGAAATTATCCATTTTCTCCGACTCCTACTGTTCATCCCAATGGGCAACCAGAACTGTCGCAAGAAATTGCGTGATTCGTGGTTGCATAAACTGAAACTGGTGATTGGTGTCTCAGAGAGTTTATAGTGGCCCCAAGAACAGGCCTGTTGGACGTCATATTCCAACTGCTTATCGGTCACAATTTATGTTGGTCCTAGAACAACCGATAGTGCGGTCGGACTGGAAGCAATGGAAACCAATGGGTACATTTGGAAGTCTCCGATAGAAGTTCGTTGATAAGTAAAAACATGGAGTGGACTCAAGTCCCGATGCTTAATCACAGGTCGAGGCCGAGATGCAGCCGCACAAACTCGAACGGAGTAAATCTGCAGTCCTAAATGTGATATTCAGAGAGAATACAAACCTAAGCAGTTTGATCAATAGACCTCACTGTTATTCCCTGCCAAAGGATTGTAAGACAAACGAGAGCAGGCTTGGTTTACCGTAGTCCTCAAGTTTAGCTGACCAGGGAGTGTGAGGTTAGAGACGGCAGGTTTTAGGTCGAACGATGTTGTCAGAAGCCATGCTGGCGGTCGCTCAGCAGCCCTTAGAGTTTGAGGAACTTAGAAATTTGGTCAGACATGATGATTTCACAGCACTTGCTTTAATAAATGATCAGTCGTCACAAAAAATGGCTGCTTGGCAAATGAGACAAAGGGAAACTAGCAGAAATCGGGTATCTTGATTGTATTTGGTTTCATACCTGTGTGTCTGTGCGTGACGATGTATATAAGTACGCATTTTATGTACAATTAACAGAGAGAAAGAGAACGACATGGTCCATTTGATAATAGATAACATGTGACATGTTCTATAGCACCCAATGACACATATGTAGTTGTTGTATGTTCAAAATGTATTCAATAAAATATACGTAGCTTGAAGTATAATGACGGTGAATTCGGAGATATATGAATGATTCAAATGTAAGAAGATCAGTGCTATCGATGTAGTTCATCTGCTAGAGCACGCGCTGCAAAAAATTGACTAACTTGTAACAAATACATGTTATAATTCCAACAGACGGTGCAGGTCGAGAATATTGGTCTACCGAGGATTTCAGATGGGGTATCACCAGTTTGCCATACATAACACAAAACATCTCATCGGAAAAATACCATCGCCGTTTCTGGTGGCACATCAAATAATGCATTTGGCAGTCGGTAGTTATTCTTTTAGACACATCACTTGGCTCACGATGGTCTTGTTATATTTTTGATCATTGAAAGTTACATACTACTCATAAGTGAGTAATATCTCACAACAAATAGGTTTCCGGTTGAGTGGAGGATCGGGGAGAGAAAAATTGATGAGGAGGACAAAATTTGATCGTCTAATGCACCCAGGAGAGGGAAATCGGATATATTTGAGAAAGGAGGAGTCACTGAATTGATACTTGGGTTCAGGATATGTATGTTATGATTTCTTCCTCCAGGAGTGGTGACTGATTGCCCGAAAAAAGACGAAAGTAACAGTTTTGAGTAAAAAGAGCTGTGAAGGTGGATCGTGTTTGATGAGGGCGAGAAAGTGGTGAACGAAATCAGTGTTGCGGTTCAGTTCGCGAGGGCTGATGCGGTGAAGCATTCGCTAAAGTTGAGCTAGCCGAAGATAGAAAACGTGCATGATAGATTAAGTCATGTTGTATATTGTGAGGAGAAAACTGGCAAGGGGTTTGTCGATCTACATATGGTTTCGGTGAAATAGACCTGATAGTGAGCCGGAAGCCCTATCAATAGTAAGTGCCTACATAAGGGGAGGTTATCTAACTAGTTAATTAGGTAATGGTTGTGGAAAATGTACTGAAACTGAGAATAAATAGTTTTAAATATAGATAACGTCTAGTGATCAATCCTTTTCATCCGCTTCTGAGGCTCACTAATCGGTGTATCAGGGTCGGAACAGTCACATGGCATGTGGGAACACAGGAGTGTTTAGATGATCGATCTTCAAGGAAACCATTCCTCCCAACGACAACCACCATTAATTTTTATTCACTTGCCATTGCGAAAAACTGTACCGTTTCGATAAGCAATGGGTAAATGGAATTTGCAATTCATTGTACACAGCACGGTTGCATCATGAGTTGTGCCCTTAAACACCGCGATGGTAATACCATACTGTGATAAAACCGCTGGCAAAAACTACAAAATGTAATGATAGTTACGGAAGAGAATTTTAATGCTCAGTTAAATAAGGCGATAAAAAAGTGGGAGGCAAATATGTAACAGGGTAACCCAAAAATATCCCTGTTTGGCTTCATAAAAATCATGAAAAGCGGGAACAAAGTGATTTTGTGTTTCGCGCAAAAGGAAAGATTCCGGTACTCGAATGGGCAACACCCCTTACTGTTAAATTCTAAAACGCACTACTAGCGCACGTTATCAGTAAGCTAACTGGTTAAGCGAAAAATTGAGCACACAGATTTGGTATACTTTTAGGATTGGCAAAATGGAGTTTCGATGAATACGAGAAAAAATCATGTGATTGTGCATGATTCAGAGAGGGCTACATTGGATTATTCAAACTATGCATAGGTGGATCTGCATGGTGACAATAATTAGACCACAAGCCGACTGCCTACATCAGTTTGTCAAAGTATTCAGTGGAACTATTCGTAAAACCTTGCTTAGAAATCTATTCTTTTACAACCATCATATTTACATCGGAAGTTATTTGTGATAAGACTTTCCCAAAAGAACTTATTCCACCAAATGAAAAAGTTTCTCACCCGTCGAGATTACTCATCTGGGCAGGGATTAAATATGGTCAGCCTTGTCGATGGACATCAGTCAAACGCACCATGAATACTGGGAAAGTTGCATCAGTAATCACGAAAATGTTTCCAGAATTTCATTAAAAATTCGTCCGGAAATGTTATCGTTTTTCAGGATAACACTCCGTATCATGCATGTTTCACGAGAGGTTAGTAAATTTATTTAGTTAAGAAGTCTGGTTAACCTATTATTTGCTTTTAGACTTCAGAAAAGATGCGTGACTCCAAGGTTCAGTTCATGCAACTCCCCCCTAATAGCCCGGGTCGCAACGTGATTGAAAATCTGTTTTCTGTTTTGAAGAAAGAGGTCAATGTGCTACCTACACATTGGACATTGGAGAGAAAAGTGCGATACGTAATGGAGCACAAAATAGAAAATGACTTCATAACAAAGTTAGTGGATTAGATGCCGATGAGACTCGAAAAAGTCCTAAAGAACAAAGACAGACCAATCGACTATTAGTGCACATAAACTTTACGTCTTAATTAATATGAATGTTAATTTGTTGTAAATAAAAACCGTTTCACTCTCTTTAGTTACCTCTTAACTCATCATGGTCTGGGTCAACCACTACCGAAGAAATGGTAGTATCCTGTACATTCTGAACCATTCCATCTGCTGAGTTTAAACGAATCAGGAAAATCAATGCTATAAAGACTTATCAAGGCTTGTTTATTATTATTTAGAAAAAAATTACTCCAGTATAAATGCTGTTGTCTATAAGAACCCACAAGTGTTTCACAGGGACCTGTTGCTTTAGTTTCGATGAGACCTGTATTTAAACGAAAGGAGCTTCATCATGCAACGGTAACATGTTACGCATAAATCAGGTATATTGAAAGTACCATATAGCAGGATCCTCCTTGCAGGAAACAATCAGCAGTGCTTGATGAATTATTTTTTATCCCCTTGATTCTCATATATCCCAGTGTTTCACGAATTATTTTACTGGTTGCTTTAGTATTATTATTGCGCTGTCTCATTCTCCTCTTGCAACTAACAAACACGATTTTATCATCATATTCTACCCAAGTTTGTATGGTATAAATATCTGACCCAGTGATGAACCTAACATACTTTTATTCTTAAGCTACAAAATCTTTTGGGGCTCATGGATGTCTCCGATAAATGCTTCCGGTAAAACAGTGATCCGAGAATAGGTCAGAGCAAATTTTGAGTCAGAAAAAACTCCAGTGGCGGGAATCATAAAGTGCTGACAATCTTAGGCGCTCGATGTCAGCTCGGATGGTGAAGATTGGGGTCTACAGCCGAACTCTGTGGTCATACCTCCACGTCAGACAGATCGTTGAGACAAAGCATAAATCTATGAATTTATTTGACGGTTCACCAACCGCAGAACTCTTCGTTGGAGTGCATGCAAACGTTCGGTGTTGTTGCAATGTTGGCTGGAACCTTCCATAACAATTCGGTTTTCCCATCTAACTTGGGTTATGTTAGATAAACACGAAGGGTTAAAGACTAGAAAATTTTTGATGTACTTGTTCTCAATTAGCCACGCGGTACGGCCCTATATGAGGATCAGACGAGCGGAGGTCCTGCAGACGAGCGTATTTGTTTACAGGCTAATTTTACAACTGTTCCATAAATCCGAGGCATTGACGTGGTGTGATCGAATGAATGCGGACGCAGCAATTCTCGGTCGCTTAGAAGACATGATATTTCGCACTTCCATAGAAGCCATAGATTTGAACTTTGACCTACACAGTGCGTCATCATTGGGTAGGATATTCGTGTACTTTAAGGTTTCTTCGTTTCTGATTTCTATTGTCGGAAGTTTCAGTCTTTCTTGGACGTAAGTAGTCGGAGTGTCTGCGGGTTAGTCGTCTATTGCTAAGCATTAGAGCCTTGGAGGTTCCGATGGAAGCAACCACTGTTGACGATTGCCACGTGGCCTCATTTTTGAGTATCGTATATGCGGGATCAGATTCACTGTACAAACGCTATTCGGTCCGGCTTTGTTGAGCATGCAAATTTTCTGACATGCGGCCATTCTGGCTCTGAGGGAAGGAAACAGAATCTGTTACACTGTTTAGAGAGTGGAACGAGATATTAGGGAAGCTGAGAATCTACGTGTGGTTTATCTTAGAGTCGTTCTGTAGGTAAAAATAGTCTATCCGGTTTCTTCTGCAAAGCTAACGCTCTTTGGCGGACAATGCTTTGTTTGACAATTTGCTCTAGTCGCTTCACTAGGCCACTGCATACAGGATGATATGGAGTTGACTATACGTGGTCTAACCCATTATTGAGGAGGAATTTACGAAATCATTCGCAGGTAAATGGTATACAGATTGTTTTGATGGTGCAGATTGTTCCTGGACTACCTTATTTTGCAAATGAGAACCTCATCGTGGTAATTTTCATATCTGTGCTAGCATCAGTAACTAAATGATCTTCTGATCAATTGGAATAAACATAATCTATGATAGATACCTTGTTTCGTTTATATGGACAAAGCGATATCATATATCTTCCGACCTAGGATTACATGGCCAGCACCACAGGATGAATAGGTCATGGTGGGTTTTGGTG